AAACTCGATGGAGCAGCTATTTCTCATCCATAAAAAAGAAAGCTTTGGCACTGTCCCCACAAGTGAACACGTGTGCTGTTTCCTCCCAAAGTCTCAGTATGCATGTCAACTTATGCCATGAAGTTTGTTGAACTCGGAAACACACACGATCAACTTTTCCTCCATGTTTTCATTCATTGTGTGGTTGAACTTAGCAGGGCTGTAGGCTTCGTTTCTGTTGGTCGTGCGAAGGTACGTCGCAGCGGTCAAAGTTTAACCAAGTTTAACCCAGTTAAACGTTGACCCTGGCATGCAAGAGTACTCTCACCGGCGCACTTGCTCTTTAAAACTGTTATTGAGGGGCGCAAGCAGTAGAAACAAATGGGTTTCAGAGTGCAGCTCTGCACTTGCCACATCCTATGTGAAAGGCCCTTGAGGTACCAGATTGGCATGTTATTTCAGAAAACTGTCACCACAAAGAAGAGACAGACACAAAGATCAGGCATAAATAAAAACAGATATATCCTCCACTATCTTCCAAAAGCTGTGATGAGTTAGTGTGAGTAATCTTTATCCCTCAGATTGGTGTTTGTGAGTCATTTTTAAATGGCAGGATTTCAAAGTTCTAGATTTACTCAGAATGATGGGAAGTCATCTGCTCTGTGCTCATTATTAATTGTTCTGTTCAACTAATAAGTCATTTATGCAAACACGTCTTCATTCTAGTGAGGTCAATAAGTCAAAAGGTAATTTAAAATTTAATGCTTTTCTCTACAGCAAAACAGAAATATATTTGGTTTACAATGAGAGAATGAAAGAAAAGCCTCAACGTTTCATGTCTGAGGAACTTAAGGCAGAAAATGTCTTTGCTTAAAAATAGAAGAAAGATTTTAATTTTTAATATGTCCTCGATTGGAAATCAGCAGACTGAATCTGTTAAACTGGACTTTGTGACAACCCCATAATCCAGTTAATATCACTATTGGCAACCTTTTTTTTTACAGGATTATATTTTAAAATGTTTTGTCTATTAATTTTTTCACAGTCTGTTTATACCAGGGGTGTCAAACTCAAACACACAGTGGGCCAAAATTCAAAACCGGAACAAAGTCGCGGGCTAACGTTAATATTTATTGAAATATATTTATTCCTCCAGATATAAGAACAAATCTTTTCTTATGGACTCAAACACGTTTTGCTGAAAAACTGAATATGGAATAAGCAAAGCCAAATTTGGCCCGCGGGCCAGAGTTTGACACCTATGGTTTACACCATATGTGACACACTTTGTGATTACGTCTTAATGTGCTGCCAAATGCCTAACTCCTTTTTCTCTGCATCCACTTTTATTCTTTTCAGCTAATAAAGCATCTTCGAACAGCAGAGTTTAAACCTTTTGTTGTGTTCGTGAAGCCCCCGACCGTCGACAGACTGAGAGAGACCAGAAAGAAAACCCAAATTATATCAGGCAAAGACGACAAGGACTCCACCAAACCCTTCACGGTAAAAACGTATTCTTTAACTTCAAACTTTGAAATTTGAAGCTTAGATTTGAAGAGCTTAATCCAGAGTCCTTCTGTTGACTCTGACAGGGAATTACTACTGTGTAGCTAAGCATTTCTAGTGTGTGGGTTGTACATGGCTGATAGTTTATATCGTATGTTAATCAGATATTACCTCCCTTCTTAAGTTGAGATAGAAAAGCAAGAGGAAATTGTTACTGTGTAACTGTGACTTGGTCGGGTTTAAATGTATCTTTCCCTCTGTCCACACGACCTGTTTTATGTGATTTGTTCTGATGTATTTTTTGCCTGAGGTACATCGTGGTGCTTGGTTGATTCAAACAGATGCTTTCAAAGTGCAGCCTTGGGGCAAATGGTCGTTCTGAAGACCAACAAGGAACAAATACAATCCTGTACATTTCATTCAAGCACGGTTCACGTGATACTGTGAAATAAAAATATTTCTCTTCAGTTTCAACAGCTCTATTTGAGCTAATATAGCAGTTAAAGCTTCCTAAAGTTGTCAAATCAAGCATAGCATTACTTCAGGCAGGACATGCAGTCAAATTAAGCTGCAATCCCAGCAGATTAGCTGATCTTAAGTTTCTTACATTTCTAGTCATAACTCAATCAACTCTATACTGACACCAGAATGGACCATAGAGAAATTACAAGCTGGTACAAATTAATTTCCCGAACGCAACCCCATAAAAATTAAAAGCCTGGTAGTCAGACCCGATCTGAAATGACCTGAAAATAAGCAGTCTCTGGCAATTATATTACGATGAACTACAAGTCACACACATGCAATCTGCAGTGATACAGTCACAGGACTTTAGTTGACCTCTGTAGAACAACTGCCAATATTTCAGGGCTTCTGGTACAGGCAGCAGACATCTGAGCCAAAGCTGTCATTGTTTATGAATGCAGAAAACTTTTGAAAGCTAATAAATGTCATGGCTACTGGACGGACTCACGCGCAGACAGTTCTTTCTTAGAGAACAAAAAGAGATTTATTTACAACAGGGATCACCTCAGTGCTATATATATGTACAGTGAGTTAAGAGGGGGGTCCAGGGCTCCAGGGAGAGAAGGGGGGGGGAATCCACACACACGCTTCCTCTTCCACACAGTCACCGCCACAGCTCCTCCGCACACACGCACTCCTCTTCAGCCGCACTCGCTCCAAAACTCCACACACGCTGCCACACCCGGGCAGGTCCCGTGATTTGGTCCAGAAGAGGGATATCTACACACAAAAGTTAAAGTTAGTTCCACAGCAAAATACACACAGGGGATTCTTTTGATAATGCCAAGAGCACGAACTCAGGAGGTTCAACGTTCCAGCGGTGAGCTATTCTGTGCCACTGCTTTAAATAGCAGCTGGGGAAATCAGCCAGATCAACAGCAGGTGGACACAATCACACAGGTGCGTGGGCCAAGAGCGAGAGCCCGTAACGAGCTCCACCCAGGCAGAGAGGAGGAGGAGAGACAAAGAAAAAACAAAAACGAACAACAACAACAAAACCTGTAGCCAGCGTGAGCCAACCAGAGAGACACGGGGACCGTGACAATAAAAAGCTAATTTGTCATCAGTCGATAGCCAGTGGTTTCATTTCCACATGGGTTGATTTACCTTTAACTCACATGTCAAATCAGAAGGTCAAACATTACTCTGTTTAAAACAGTTACAACACATATGCCCAGAGCTGATAGTTAGTCAAGTCACATCAACACAAAATACAATAGGATCCGACTTTGAGGCATATGAGGCATAATTTAGTGCATTTATAGGTAATAAGTGTTGAGGAAAATACTAGAGTACAACTTCACTTTCACCTAGAACATGCAGCGAATTTATGGTTGAAGGTCAGCTCGTTAAACCTTGATACAGACACAGCATCAGCTTATATTATTCACACAGGTAAACATAATTCTGTCTCAGTCCGCTCCTTATTTCCCAGCTGGGTCTTGAGAACAATAAGCTTTAGTTGTCAGAAGCAATCTGGTTGTGAACAGTCTGTTGCAGTTTTAACGTCCCTTTATTAGCTTCTGTTATTCTCTCATGTAATACAAATATACTTCTATAAAGCTGTGTGACAGCGGGCTGTATTTCAACCAGGTAACAAACAAAGTCTCTGTGTAAATGTTCATGTACACTGACAGAACCAAACCCATCTCATATTTACTATTAAATGAAGGGAAGCTGTTGTTGGGCAAGTCGTCCCAGACATTTTCAATCCAACACCAGCTGTATTTTTCTTTGCAAGAGACAGGTCTGCTTTAATGATAAAGGCCGAGGAACAGTCGTCTCATTGTTTCAGTCGAGCTGGCTGGAAGCATGATGTGAATACAAGCAAAACAATCTGATGTAATGCAAAATCCCAGCTGTAATGTGGTTAGCATACAAACTGCCACCAAATCTGAAAGAACCGCAGGCATTTCAAAGTGATTTGAGGAAATCTCTTTGGTTTCTGACACTTTTTTAAAACGCAAAGACAGGTGGGTTTTATTGGCACAACAAAGCAGGTGTCCAGCAGAGAACGTGGTTGACACGTGCTGCTTCATGCCACTGAAGATTTATCTTTTTCCTGTAAGGCAAAAACAATAAATGTATAAAGGCTACAAATAAAAGAATTACAATTAAAACAGAGTATTTTAATACTCTGTAACAGTATTTTGTTGCTGTGCAATGAAAAGGGCAATAAATCTATGCTGTGACAAAGTTCCTAAACAGGCACAAGATGCTGCATCACTTCATGTGGAAATTAGGCCACCTACTGGGAATACGGGTGTGCTTTTTCTCAAGTTTGGTCCCCCAGAAGAGGCATCATCCTAAACCAATCTTTTCTTTCTAAGTTCTCTGATTTTCTATTCATCTTCCAAACCCACCTTGCTGTTCCTTAAACGGCTTCCTGCTCAGATTAATGTTCTTTTTACCTGGTAGACAGCTGGGCAGAAAAACACAGCTAATCCATTACGAAGCAGAAAACCACCAGAAACATTCTGGAGGAACTGCTGGCAAAAGTCCCTGTAAGAGACAGCTTCGTCATGACAACGTGTAAAAGCAAAGCTGTCAATTTACCCGTGGATCTATGTCCCTCCCCTCATCTATGGTCATGAACTTTGGGTAGTGATCGAAAGAACAAGATCGCAGATACAAGCAGCGAAAATGAGCTAAACTCCAATTTAAAGTTAAGTGTTCCCAGTAAAAACACAGCACCCTAACCCACCAAGAGATACCTGGGCTCATTCAGAAAGGCAGTATTTACTTGAATGATAAATGATAAAATAAGTTCTCCAAAGGTTGATTCTGTTCATCTGGACGTAGCGTTCTCAGTGGGAGAAACGTTTCATCAGACACTTGGATGACTGACGAAAGAGATTTTATTCGTTTTGTGTGTTTAACTTCCATCTATTTTGTCTCTTCCCTCTTTTCCCAGGAGGAAGACTTTCAGGAGATGGTGAACACGGCCCAGATAATGGAGACACAGTACAGCCATCTCTTTGAGATGGTTATAGTCAACGACGACCTCGATGTTGCCTTCAGCGAGCTGCAGTTGGCACTAAAGAAAGTGGAGACAGAGACACACTGGATTCCAGTCAGCTGGACTCACTCCTGAGAGACATACTGACTGTAAAAGGAGAAAAGGGAAGCGCTTTGACAAAAATATGCAGGTTTTCTATCTTTAAAAAAAAATATTTGCCAGGGACGATGTTGGGAAGTAAATCAGGAATAAAACAGTGCCTGGCTGCTGTGTCGCCATACCTGAACTGCATCGAGCTAAAAATAAGCTTCTGCCTGGGATCAGGTTGGATTTAGACCTCAGCTGTGGTCTGGAAGCTCCAGGTCTGACCAGATGTGATCGGGTTGTGGCTGCAGGCTTCTTTCCAGAATCTAAGACTTTGACATTGATCAGGGTCTCAGTCTGGGTCACACATCCATGGCCACAACTTGGAGCGCCTTGGTCCAAACCGGAACATGGAGCGAGCTTGGAGCATCGTAGCACCAGCAGTCCTGCCAGCACATCAGTAAACCGGCCAAACAGGACTCCTCCTTTAGTGGTTTTATAACATTAGACGATTAGAAACCAAAGGGATTGATGTATTTCTTCTTCGTGGACAACTTACATGTGTTTGTCTGTAAAAGAGCACAGCACCAGGGAAAAGAGGAGAAAGAAAAACATACTTGCCTTCTGTCTTACTAGACTTTTGTACATCTAAAATCTTCCATGACTGTTATTCCAAGCGAAACACTGTCAGGTACACTCTTGAGAAAGGGCAATAAGTGTAATTTTATTTAAAAGAAATTAATATATTTTCTAATATCTGCTTGTAGTCCTTTTTATGCATTTTATATACATTTATGACTTTAATATGATCTTAGCTGTAGCCATCTCTGTGACAGCCTCTTTTTACTAGAAGCATTTTTTCCCCCAAACCAACAATTTTTTTGTTCGTCACCCTAGTTTAGTTTTTTTGGCTCTGTCAGCTCTATTTGGCTTTATTCGGCTCTGTTATCAGCACTGCTACAATTCTCCTAGCTCCAGATTTTCCTCTCTTTTTGATTCTGGGAGAAGCTGACCTCCTTTAAATTAAGGGGAGACTATAATTCCAGCTACATTTTTATTCACCAGAATTCACACAAAAAAAAAAAATCCATATTTTATTTATTTATGCTTTGGGCTGGTTTTTTTTGTTTTTTTTTTTAAACTTCCTGCTCCTTAAAAGTATACTTTCTTCTGATTGGTTGTCCCTCACCTAGCCTCTGCAAACAGAAACTAGTGCTCGTACGCACTGCCTCCCAGAGATGACCTCAATATTTTGCATATTTAGCAGTGTTTAATATCTGCTTAGTATATGACAAAATACAAGCAAATGGATAAGTTGTCCTTTATACATGGAGGTAGAGCGCTAGGATAGTTGGAGACTGGAGCTAGCCTATGTCTGCTAGTCTTTCTGAACTTGTTCATCCCTATTAATAACAGTTAGTTCATATTGAATTCATCTCTTAATTTTTGTGCTTGCTCGACTGGTTGCCTCCAGTCTGTAGCTGCATTTAAACTCTATGTGCTATCAGTCTTCCAGAGTCTCAGTAAAAAAAGCATTAAGCATATTATCCAACCTGTCTGAATGATTCCTTAAACTCTAAATTTATTCTTTTTTTCTTTACTCTAAGAATACTCTTACACTGCTGAATGTCCAGCTCAGGTTGTATGTTTCCAAGTTGTGCATCATTTATTTCGCCCTTTCCACCAACTGTGATATATACAAACTAGATTTGTGTCCTTTTTTTAAATGTAAGCATGATTGGTTATACTGCTCTGATGTAATATGATTTAAATGTCTTTAACACTCTTGTCTGCCAAACTTTGTCCCAACATTTTTTTTTGTCTTTTTGATTTTTCAGTTTTTCTACCTCCCCACCCCCCTGCTGCCCATCTTACAGATCAAAGTCACATTTGTACCGTCTCCAGAAAATACCTTTTTATGTCTCCCTGTAGTGATATACTCTTTAAGTGGCACATTGTATGAATTTACATTATTCTTGATAACTGCTGCATTTTTTATTAAAGAAAATACGACTAAACTTGTAATTGCAATGTCCCCAAATTAATTCATATATATCTTGTTATCCAAGCAAAGAGTGAACACAACTTTATGTTTACCAGCACAATCCCTACTTCTCTTTAGCTAAATGTTGCATATTTTGTGAATAAAGGTAATGAACAGGTGGAGGTGGTAAAAGGGGGGCTCTTAAGAAGAGGATTTAGCCACCCTCTACTTGATGTTCAAAAGAAATCCTTTAAAGATCAAAATCAGGTTGACTTAACTCAAACACCTTCCATGGTGCTCACTTTGAGAGTAGAGCAGAGCAAAGGAGAGTTAATGGTGTTGGGCAGAGAGGTGTTAGGTGGGGGAAGAGGAGGAGAAGGTAATGGCACTTACTCAGTTAGTCCACACATTGCTGCTGATGTCTTTCACTCATTCCTGCTTCATAATTAGGATACTAGAGTGAAGGGGGACACAAAAGGGCTGCTTTCACATACAGTAATGTGGCACTAACCCTCCACACTCCCAAGGCTATACGCACAAGTGAATAAATGGGCAAATACGTTCTCCCGCCCCCCAAAAGCAATCAAGGTCACTGACTCATTTTTAATATGTGGAGATGTACTGGGTACTGGCAACAGCACCTCCTGTCTAAAGCTTGCACAGTGATGGGTCTGGGAGGTGCTAAGTAAGTGTATTTGACCAAATTTTCTCTTAAATTCTTAATACCACAAGTGGTCCGGTGCTTTGCATCTTTTAAGGAAGACACTCTAGCCCAGGGGTGGGCAATCTCAGTCCACGAGGGCCGGTGTCCCTGCAGGTTTTAGATGTGTCCTTGAACCAACACAGCTGATTTAAATGGCTAAATTAGCTCCTCAACATGTGCTGAAGTTCTCCAGAGGCCTGGTAATGAACTAATCATGTGATTCAGGTGTGTTGACCCAAGGTGAGATCTAAAACCTGCAGGGACACCGGCCCTCGTGGACTGAGATTGCCCACCCCTGCTCTAAGCCCTCCTGTTGTCCTCATGTCCTGTACACACCTAGGATCAAAAATGACCCAACATCACTAAAAAGCTAAAATCTGAAGAACCTTTACCCACTTGTCCCACACCTCTGTTATGGGAGCTATGTCTTGATGCATGTTCAATCATCCAAGTAAGTAAATCCCCAAAAGTTCTGTTCATCTGGACGTAGCGTCTTCAGTGGGAGGAACATTTTGTCACTCCTCTAAGTGACGACTTGAGTCTCAGCTGACTGCAGGATTTTCACAACCTTATAAACAGTACCTTTGCACAATGACTGAAACTAGCACCACTGAAAGAACAATGGGCTGTGAGGTCAGTTCCTTGATTATTAACGATTATGGAACCAACCTCAAAGCCCATTGTTCATTCAGTGTGTTAGTTTAAGGCAGCTAGTTTGTCATCACACATATTGCCGGTCTTGACTCGAGGTTATCAAACTGTATCCTTGAGAAAGTGTGACAAATTTTCAGTGGCATTTTGGTACTCACTGTATCCAAGAGACACACGTGGCACAATAGCCATAACTTCATAAAAAAATCACAATTATAAATTATTTCCCAACACACATAAGATCACCCAGCAGCTGTGTTTTCATACACCTCTCACATGCAAACTATCACACAGAGTGATTTTTATAATTATCTCATTTGTTACACACCAACCTTCCACAAGCTGAATCCTAAACATTTCATAGCTTTTTATTTTACTGGTTTACTGGTTTATGTGACTTACTAAACACAAATATTATCCATGAAATGTTTACTACACCTCTGTGATCATTAAAATAACAGAATAGTACAGTACTGGAGAACTGGTGCCAGAGGAACAACCTCCTTCTAAACGTCAGTAAGACAAAGGAGTTGATAGTGGACTTCAGCACTAAGCAGGAGAGGAACTACCAGACCCCCGTCATCAACGAGTGCCCAGTGGAGAGAGTGGACAGCTTCAAATACCTCAGGGTTCACATCACGCAGGACCTGTCATGGTCCTGTCACATCAACACCGTGGTGAAAAAGGCCCGACAGCGTCTCTACCACCTCAGACGCTTGAGAGACTTCCGACTGCCCTCCAAGGTGCTCAGGAACTTTTACTCCTGCACCATAGAGAGCATCCTGACGGGAAACATCTCAACCTGGTTCGGGAACAGCACCATGCAGGACAGACGAGCTCTACAGAGGGTTGTGCGATCAGCTGAGCGCACCATCCGCTCCGACCTGCACTCAATCTACAGCAGGCAGTGCTGGACCAAGGCCAGGAAGATCGTGAAGGACCTCAGCCATCCCAACAATGGACTGTTCTCTCTGTTGAGGTCAGGAAAGCGATTCCGCTCCCTGAAGACCAACACAGAGAGACTGAGGAGGAGCTTCTTTCCGCAGGCGATACGGTCTCTCAATCACATCACCACATAGTACTGACCCACACATATGGTTTTTACACACACACTGGACATTCTGGACATTTGTTTACACTAGTGGCCACTGCACAACTATACTGCGTGGTCATCTAATCAAATCACTCACTTAGTCACAATTCACTTAAATAAATCACTTTTAAGCATATTTGCACTGCACAAGACACTTAAATATGTGGATTGCACAACCCTGGACATTACATTTCTTTCATTACCATTTATTACTCGTACAGCTGCTCTTATTGTTCTATATTTCTTCATATATTCTTATATATTTTCTATATTGTGTATTTTGTGTATTGGGTATTTTGTTGTACAGTTATTTTATTTTTAACTTTAATTTTTATATTTTATTTTATTTATTCTTTCCTAGTTAAATTTACCCTTCATTTTAATTTTCATATTTATTTCCTATTCTATTCATAGTCTTTTATTTTAGGTCACAAGCAGTTGTCTATGCATTTCACTGCATATCGTACTGTGTATGACTGTGTATGTGACAAATAAAATTGGAATTTGAATACAGTAAGTGATTGGGTCACCAGCAGCTGAAAAGATTGCCAACTTCAATAAGTGACAACAACACTTGACACCCTCGGAATATCTTTCTTCTTCTTCTTCTTCTTCTTCTCTATATAAAAAAAAGTCGTTTTCTACAGTGTCAACTGAAACAATTGGTTTTGTGAGTTTTGACTTAACTCGCTTGCCGTTTCGTTTACCAGTGTCATGGCAACAAAGTGGGAGGGGCAATTACTAGAGCCGATAGTGGTCCTGTTTCCATGGACACTGTGGTTGACTAGCTACCAGTAAAGGTTTTGTAAAGCAAGTTAAAATACACGGTAAGTTTGTACTCGAACAGATAGTCATAACTTCATGACAGACAGTGGAAGAGACTTGCTTCATGGTTAATTAATGATGAATACCTCGGTGTGGTTTCAGTTGTTGTATCTAATATTAGCTGAAGACCATCGGCTTTTCGAATAACAGGACTCTGTAGCATAAAAATACGCTTAACTGTAGTCACTCCTGTCCCAAGAAAGTGTGCTGATGCTCTTCACAGTCTCGTTAACGCCGTTATTATAATACATTACTTGTTTATTATTACATTGCTGTCCTCTAGCGAGTTTTGATTGTTGGATATGTCTTTCTTTTGTTAAAGTTCTGCAGCTAACACAGACGTAAGGGTCTGGCTCTCTAGATTTTATTCAGCTATAATAATGATGGGAGGAGGGAGGGGATTATATAGTGTATATAGTGCATGTCATTTATTTGAATGACCCACTATGGCCATCATGATACCAGTGCAAGCATCTGTCTTCCTTTTTTTTTAAATTATCCATGAATCCATCCAGAAATATTTATTTATTTCCTGTCATATCCAACAAGCAAACCAAGACTTAAAAGGCTGTTTCAAATGGTTCCTTTGTTAATGTTAAGTTTTAGAGTATCCCAGACGCAGCGATGGGGATATCATTGACCAGGGCTGCCCAGTGGACCATGGTCAGCTCCAGTACTGCCAAGCTGGCATCCACACCAATGAATGAGTCCTTGTTGAAAGAAATCCTGCACTTCGTGGAGCGCTTTAGTTCCCAACACCCACAGGAAGCTGAACATGTGTTTGAGGAGCCACTCCAGTGGAATACCACTTTAGTGGCGTCTGATTTCAAAACAGACTACGACATCAGGTTGGTCTAATCATGAAGCGGGCAGCTGGCTGGCTCGCAGTATTATGTGTCTGTGCAGGATTTGCTGTCACTATGGTGTCCAAATGTTTTTATCTTAGACTCAAAGCTGCACGTGGACCGTAATTAATTTGTTTTTCAGCTTCAGTAAGATTGAGAACGTTCCACTGTATTTCATCAGAATGTCTGCTCTACTTTAAGTGTGTGGTTTCCTTTGTGTCTCAAAGTATGAACCAGGAAAAGTACAAAAACAAAGACTCAGATCTCCATTAAGCATTTCAGACAATTAAAGTTTCTGTTTTGTTTTATTTCCTACTCAGTGATTCAGATGTTCAGTCCCACGAAAGAGATAGTGAGGGCCATCCACTGCTGCAGCTCTCTCCACCGACTGTTTATGTACGCAGCTTCAGCCAGCTCTCTAAACTACTTCATCTGGCAGATGATAAGAAGTTGGTGGAGGTTCGGGCATGTCTAGAAGGTAAATTTGAGTCGAATTTGCATCCCAAGCAGTCCAACCACCAGCATTCCTCCATAACCCACAGACTTAATGTGTTTGTCCTCCTTGTTACTCTGTACAACCATCCAATTATGCCGCCATTGGTAATTCTTTCTCTGAACTAATATATATTTCTTTAACAGATGGACACATGATGAATACTTATTTCATACTGCCAGTGGATTTGTTATGGAGAGATAATATTAGCTTAGTTTTGAAAAGAAACAAAGTACAGTCAAAGCCAGCTGTTTTTATAGTTCAGAATGAATCCAGCTCATAGCATTTGAATTTGAATCGCTAAACCTCCCCTCTTTTGTTGTTCAGAAAACAGAGAGCCCCTGGTTAAGATTCTTGGTAGGAGCTTTTCCTCTGACCTGGCGATAGAAGCCCATGACGATGCAGTAAGTGTGGTAGACAGGACGAAGGAGGAAGGCTTATCTAAGGACTTGGAGGTCAAGGTCAAACTGTTTCAGTTGTTCCAAGACATGGACAAACAGATCCTTGACAAGCTTCTTAAAGACATATCAGAGTGAGTGCTCCACAATATTTCCATTTATACATGTTCAAGCACATTTGAAACAGCCTATCTGATTGGACTAGGAAGCATATTGAAAAAAGTAACTACTAATGAATTATTGTTTTGTTTTCCTTAATATTCACAAAAGACAAGTAAGGCTGAACCCCAAAGCAGTGAAGAATGAAGTGGAAATCCTTCAAGTGTTCTGCGGTGGAGGGGATAAAGGGCTGTTGAAGTCGCTGCGATACACATCAGGTTTGAATCAGTTCCACATTTTACTGGAATACGAGGAAACCAGTCGCTGTTAACTCTAATGCTGCATAAAAGCTGTGTTCTGCTGCTCTCAAAGACATGAGAGACAGATTCCAGTTTACAAAGTCATTTTTCAGCTCAGGTATTTTGCTTCATTGCATTGCATTTAGCAGCATGCGCACATAATGACACATTTTATTCTATTCTACAGAAAAAGCAAACAAACAAAAAAAAAAACCCATTCAAATACGATTTATATTGCAAGTATAACTATAGCTCAACTTGTGCCTTAGACCTGTTCTTGGAGTATTATGTCCTCTCTCCAGCAGAGCAGACACACCTTCATCCTTTGTTTTCTTCCTTTTATGGAGACAAACCTGTTGTGAAATAATATCGTGCTGCACTGTTAGATGTCAGTAGATTAGCTACTGTAGGAAACATCAAAAACATGAAATTTAGACTGTGCCCCATGATGGCTGCACCAGCCAGTGTGGTTCAACTACTGTTTGCGTAAAAAGAAAATTGTTACACACTATATTTTTACTTTAATTCAAAACAATTTATATAGTGCCGAATCACAACCATCACCTTTATTTTGTAAGCTAAGCACCTAAAATAATACAGAGAAAACCTCAACAATCAGACAGCCCCCCTATGAGCAAGACAGCAGAGAAATGTAAGTGTTTTAATATATTAATATTTCATACTTTAAGGCTGCCTGTTTGTTTAAGGGAGATGAACAACGCATTATAATTTTACATAATTATATCACAGATGATAGACTAAATAAATCGATTTTAGGTAGATGCTTGTGCATTCTTAAGGTCTTAAATGTTGAATTGAACTGAGTGTGTCATCTGTTCAAAGCCTCTCCCAGTCAGTGCTGTTCTTCATGCCTGTCTAACTGTACATGGTGTTATTGGCACAAACACTTTAAAGGTGATCATTTATGACTTTAAAGATAATACAGACAGCAATGTAGTCAAACATCTCACAGTTGGTTTTATTGGGAATTAACTTTAACCTGTTAGGCCTCCAGGGGTTTTCTGAGCTTTCTGTTCAAAAATGAAATGACCAAAAAAGTGGGGTATTTCTCTGCAATTACAAGCTCTCTGTAAACAGTTTTGGTATCAAAATAAAGCTAACGCTTTTGAGATGTCATCAGAGGTGTAAACATTATTGCAGATGTTACTATGTCAAAGTTACTGTAACTCAAACATAAAATGGCCTTTTTTATTTCCCTTCACCTAATTTATTTAAAAGTATTTTATAGCACGTAACACCTTTAACTCCAGAAAATCATAAATCAAAATATGGATATTACCTGTCCACAGATTCATGGTGACATAACTGCTCTTTTAACTGTTTGGTATCTTCGCTTTGTTTGGTTGTTGTTGAAATGCTTTACATGATTTTCTGGCTGAGATTCGGAGGTTTCTATGGACACTACTCACGTCGGCACTTATATTTCTGACCTCTTGTTATAACCGATTAAACGTGATCTCCTCCCTTTTGCCGCCATTTTTCTGGGCATGGGTGCTTAAAAAAACAAACATCTGTCTCCTATTTTTGTGTCACATAGGAAAGAAGCATCAATACCTGATAAGAGACTTATTAATTTGGCCTTGCTGTGTATTATTGTGGTGTTTGGTGCAGTTTTCTTGTTTTGTGGGGTTGTTGTTTTTTTCAAGTGGAGATGAATATCTCTAACACGTTCATTTGTTTACATTTGCATATCTTAATTTTTAAGAGAAATGTGTTTGAGTTTGTACACTATATGCATATAAGGCAACCATTTTCTTTTTCAGTATTTTTGTGTGGTGCATTTTTCTCTGTTTTAACAAGAGGCACAAAGTACATTGAAGTCGACCTAAGATGGTTTGTTTTCATTTTTACATGGTCTTACTGAGGTGATGCAAAGTGAAACATGCATTCTTTTTTTTTTGGTAATGTGCTGGAAAAGCTTGAAAATGGACCTTGAAAGTGCTTAAAAAGTGCTTAAATTTGATGCTCAAAAATGCGTATGAACCCTGACTTGAGTTCAGGCGATGAGGCTTGAAGCTGAATTCTTTTTTTCTGTGAAATAAACTCGAAAATCAACTGACGGTACCTTTAACCATTTCCAAAGTTATTAAGTTGGCTTTCTTGTTTTTGTTTTTAGACTTTGAATTTTCAAATGGCTATCGTGCCCCCCTGTGGAGACAGGTGCAGGGTGACATTTGCTACCTTGTGATTGAGCCCTGTGACACTGAAACCCTCTACATTACCTGTAGCACTGCTGGGAGTTTCCTCAATGGGGTAAGACTAGAAGTGAAAGGCACTGTGGTCCACATTGTGATCTTTTATATTTCTATGTAAATATGACTTAAAACATAATCATTTCATTTTCACACAAGCTTTCAGACATATTCTAACCTCAGCTCAACTGTAACTTTAACTAACAACAGCTGACATGTGAGCCACAATAAATTGTGGTTTTTGGAATAAAAAAAAGTTAATTTAACTTTGTTTTCACAGGGCATAAAACAGGAGGGGGAGGAGAATGGATATGAGCGAACAAGTGATACTTATGAAGACCTGGTAACACTTCTGAAGAGCAGATCTCCACATTTTGCTGAGAAAATAAACCAGGTAGAGTAGAATAATAGCAATTAACATAAACACATTAAGGTGTGTCTTTTTTTGCTGTGAATTGTAACTCTCTAAGCAAAAGTGTGTGGGTTCTCAAATGCCTCTTTGTCTTATGAACCTTCTCTCTAATCCTGTGATTTTATGACAGATGCTGTGTGATTCATATTTGTACACAGAGTTGGGATTCTGTAATCCAGGCTAAAAAATTTCGTTAGAGACCAAACAGACAGCAAAGCAGAGTATGCTTCTGCTTCTGGACATGACTTCAGTGATTGAGCAGTTGTTAGTATATGAACCTGCAGTGTCCCTGTTTTTTTTTTACTTTTTATCAGACTTTGCTAATCAGTCAATAGTCTGCACCAACTCCCAGTTTATATTAGCATGTTGTACTACTCTCAGCCATTTAAGCTGAGTGAATGAATGTGAATATTTTGCAATAGTGCAATACTATACATCTGTATATATGCCAGGATATACTGATGATAAGTGGACTACTGGAACTACTACTTGTTCATGTATGCCTTATACATGGACAAGGACTGTCAACACAGAATTGATGGAATGCTACTATTCCAGCCAATGCAGTAAGAGATCAGTTATCTTTAACACATGTGGGAACTATGGATGAACACAAAAGCCAACATCCACACTGCCCAAGAAGCACCTGGCAGCTCATTGCAATGACATCAATAAAAGACGAAGCTGGAGTTTAAGAGGCTATTGCACAGTGGAAACAGTAGTGAGCAATATGGACATAATGAACCAACTGTAGTAAAAGAGACCAGCAGAATTGAACTAGTTGATACCCAGCTGCCTACAGGGACAGAAGGATCTAATTTTTATCAGAGGAAAAAGATTGTGGCCAACCTCAAGCAGCCACTCAACCAAGAGCAGGAGTTCCCCCAGCTCACTGGCAAAATCCCATCAGTGAGGGAACATTACATCACCGGTTCAACTCACCAGGATCATTAGCGAGGATATCAAGATGTCATTCAGACTGGGAAAGTGTAGGCGAATAGCTGCAAAGAGAGGGAAGGCGATCCGAACTTGCTAGAAGAATAGCAGATAAAAAGTGCAGCTGCAAGTACCTTCTTATCCCACAGGCCAGTGGGAACTGAGGTGAAGTGAAGGCCTGCCATAGCCAAGTACCTCTAGAAGGTAAAAAAGGTGCTGAAAAGCAAACTGAACAGCAGGAATAAGATCATATGCTGATAGGGCATATGTATTGATGGAATAATAAGCTGGCCACAGGAGGTGATAGGTGGCATTGATGCCAAGACATAAAAAACTCCTTACAGTGCATTGAGGTCTCCACCTGAAGTCCGTGAAAGAGGGAGAGTAAGAATTAGTGAATGTCAGAGTCACAAGGATGAAACACGGAGTGAGTATCCTGGATTGTAGATCAGGAAGAAGGATTTGAGTCCGACCCCTCTCTCTCTCTCCCTGCTTTCCTGTCTTTCTTCACTGCATCTGTCCAAATAAAGGCTAAAAGCAAAAAAAGGACAGCACAGAGACATTGTGTATAGGAAACATCTGTGCCGCATATGGACTAGACGTCCCCAAGTATCAATGGGAGAAACCACCAAAGTTGGCTGAGAACAACAGGGCTAATTTCCTGTAGTACTTTTGAGTTCCAGGCAGACAAGTACAACCTTGTCCATTTCTCATATAGCAGAATTGGAGAAAGTTGGTTAGCCTAGTTAAGTCAAACTGTGGGTTTGTATATCGACATATGTTTCCAATAGCACTCTGTGTTTTATAAAACACAAGCCAATGAAAAAAGCAATTGGGCATGCTTGGCTCTAGCTCATACACAAGCCCAAATAAATAAGTCCATATATTGTTGAGTACGGGCTCTTATGTCAATTTTGTGTTTTTAATTATAACTTTTTACTCTTTCGTGGTTTTTATATGAGTCTTCCTTGAGTGGCATGACCAAGACTTTGTCAGACATAGAGTTGCAAAAATGGATGGAAAATACAGCACGCTGATTGACAAGAAGTCAAAGAAATGCTAATCAGCTTAATCAGAATTGCTTTTTTTAATATAAGCAATAATTTGAGAAATTTACAGTCAGATTAAAAAGCACTTTACAGTCAAATTTTGCTTGTTTTGTTGCAAATTGGAAGAGGTATTTACACTCATTCTTCAGCTTCTCACTTTCCCCCTTACCAGCAGGCTTCTGCAGTTCAAGAACGATCAAAAAAAGAAAAGACTGTGAATGAGCAACTACAGCTTGAGCTGCACACAACACGTAGGAACATATATGAACCAAGACCAAGTGGTATCTTGTCTACATGTGGGTATGTGATGATTCCTCACTTAAGAATTGTTCTGAATATTCATTGCATTGCAGGTATTCTTCTTGAAGAGCAGATGAACTTTGATGACCATGATGCCAAGTCTTTAATGCATGTGTTTAGTGTATCTGCTAGCAGTCAGATGTTATAAAAACAGGGTTATATGGTTTAGAAATTCAAGGGAAACCCTCTTTGCTCTCTGCTAAACACCCTCCCTAAAAGCTCTATCACATTTGGTCTTTGATTGATAAATAGATCTAGCATGGGCTGAACTGTTGCAGCTTTACCTCAGGATATTTGTACCCATCTGAGGAGAAACTGGTCTTTTTAATCTTAATTGCTTAAAACATGCTGAACCCTATCCTGAGTTGTTAAATAATGATTATGCCAGAAAAATGACCATCTCAAAATAGAAGTAGGTATAATGAGTCTTATTTCACATCATTACAGTAAAACAGAGGAAAATAAAGGCCATAAGAGTTCTGAAGAGGAGGAAAAAAGTCTTAGACAAGGAGCCAAGAGCAAAATAAAAGCAGAATTCTCTGCATCTTCTTCACCTGGACACATGTCCTCCCAAAAACGGTAAGATCTCTTTTGTCAAAACCTACAAGGGTTCCTTCTTGCACTGCAGCTGGGGTAAACTAAACTAAGCAGAGGTTAGAAGTGCAAGGGATCTGATTGTAGCCATGAAGCAGCTATAATGACTCTTATTTCACCTCATTATAGTAAAACAGAGGAAAATAAACCCCTTAAGAGTTCTGAAGATGAGCACAAAAATCTAAGACAAAGAGCCAAGAGCAAGACGAAAGCAGAATTATCTGCATCTTCTTCACCTGGACATGTGTCTTCCCAGAAACTGTAAGTTTTCCTTTGAAGAGTTTCCTCTAGATCTGCAATTGGGGTAAATTCAACCAAGAGGTTAGACATATAGGGTTTTGATTGTATGCCTAATTAAAAAGGCAGAAGTTGCTCTTGTGTATTTTAGGAAGACATCAGCAGGAGCCCTGCCAGGGGAACTTTTCAGTGAGAGCTCCACTGAGAGTGAAGAGGAAGAGGAGCAGCCATATCGACATCCAGAGACTAACACAGACCTGCCCTCTGAATACTGGCAAATCCAGAAACTGGTTAGGTATCTCAAGGTATGAGAAGATCACTCTGCACAACAGAAGCAAACTCAGATTTCACAAAAACATCTTTGTGTGTGTGTGTGTGTGTCTGGATGCCACACAGCACAGTTATTTATAGTTTGCCCAGTAGTCATTTTATAATATCATTACCATTAGATGCTGAAACCTACCATGAGCCAAACTGAACACCAGAAATTCAGCAAATAATTTTTTTCTATCAGTGTTAACCAGCACAACGCTAAACACTTAAAGTACAAGGCTGTGGCATTAATGAAACAGCTCCAGCATGTGTAGCATTATGAAAAGAAACAACAGAGTAAGAGGGAAGAGCAATATGAGAGAATGGAGAATTCTTAATGTTATTTCCTCCTCTCCTACTTTTTAATTCATTTGTGTTTGAAATCATTGTTTCAGGATGGTGACCAGATAGTCACTGTTGACACTCTTTGTGCCATGATGGACTTTAATTTGATGCAGGAGTCATGCCAAATGGCTATCCAGGACACAGGTGGCCTTAAAGTCCTCCTTAACTTGCTGGATACAGATGAACACAAATGCAAAGTGAGTAGCCATGACAAAGTTGGACCTGCATGGCCTGCTGGCATGAACAGAGCTGGCCATGTGTGCCAGCTTGTGTTTTAGTTTTAGAAACATGAGTGCAAGGTAGAAAGCATGCTGTTTAAAAAACGGGGTAGCAATTATTCTATAGCATTCCTAATGAGATGTGTGGGTTGGTGCTTTTCAACGTGGTTGTACTGCAACATTTTATCTACGTTTAGTGGAAAGTTTAGCTACTTTTTTGGCTACTAGACCCCTCTTGTGGGCATAAGTTTCTTTATCATAAAACAAACATAATTTTTAACTGGTTATATTTAATATTATTGTGTTTTCTTGTGATTAGATCGGATCTCTAAAAATACTGAGAACCATCAGCCACAACTCGCAAATCCGTCGGGTTATTGTTGACATGAGAGGCGTGCAGAGCATAGTGAAGATCCTGGACTCACCAGTCAAGGAACTGAAGGCCTTAGCTGCTGAGACCATCGCTAACGTGGCCAAGTTCCGCAGAGCAAGAAGAAATGTCAGGTTATATGGTGGTATCAATAAACTGGTGAGTGTAAGCACAGTAAAATGTAAGTTCAGAGTGTGACATGCTCAAGCTCTACAATCCCATGGTGAGGAATGCAGCAGGAAAAAACACTGCAGATTTTAACCTGATTTTTCTGTACTGGAAATAATGAAAAATGTCCAACAGTAGCAGATTTTCCTTGAAAACACAGGTCTGCTTGTTTATGGTGTAGTATTTTTTTGTAATAACCTCAGAAAACTTAAAAACTTTGAGAAAAATTCTGTTTTATTCTGATGACATCCATATATTAACATAGTTCAAAGGTTTTTTTTGTTGTTGTTTTAGCTTCCTTGAAGCAAAGAATTATGTTCCCTTTTCACACAGTAGATGCCTGATAGTGGTCATCAATTTTTTTAAATTTAGAAAGTGGGTGCTGGGTACCAGATAGAATGTCTCCTACATCCTCTGACCTGCATTCGTGATTATGGATGGAGGGATCTTTGACTGGACTGCCTTCCTAATTTAGCCACCATGTCTTGTTTATTTTGTTCAGCCCCAAATCAAATGAACACAGAATGATGGCTTTAAATGGTCACACTGGGCTTTTCAGCATCAACATCTATCCTGACAGTTTTCCACTCCTGGCTTCTCTGTTGTTTTAATTCTCTCTGAATGAAACGTTCTAGTAACAGAACTTTAATCCCACCCATCATGACCAAAAAGGAGCTATTTCCATCTGGAACCATCAATTATTACCCAAATCTAGCAAATAAATTTTTTGAGTTTAGTTCTTGAATTTGCGTTAGGCTCACAGATCTTATATGTAGAGAATATCAGATTAAATACAGAGTGTGTTTGCTTGTCTGCACACAGCTTCATCTGTGTGTTTATATACATGTAAGTTTTGGGGTGTCTGTATCGCCAATCAGGTAAAGCTGCTGGACTGCCTTCCTAATTTAGCCAGCCTTACTCCCAGCCAGGAGGAGGATATAGAGGTGGCCTGTTGTGGGGCTTTAGCATTATGGAGCTGCAGCAGGAGCACCAAGAACAAGAAGGCCATTCGGAAGGCTGGGGGTATCCCTCTGCTGGGACGCCTGCTCAAGTCTCCACTTCAGAAAATGCTTATTCCAGTGGTTGGCACCCTACAGGAATGTGCATCAGAGGTGAGAGGGGCCTAGGACTGACAACAAGTCGTCAAATTAAAACATCTATTCAAAGTGTTAGAACAAATACTGCAAATCATTTTTATTAAATGACAATGCCAGTAATTTCCCTTTCTTTTTTATTGTAAATACATTTATAGAACTGATAATAATTTTGCATTTTCTAATTAGTTTTTATTTTTATTTCATTTTAACTTTAAATTTTTTTTTAATTTAGTTTCAGAGTTAACTTTCTTATTTACATTTTCTTTGTTGTTGTTTAAAAATGTTTAGTTTTTAGTTTCTGCTGGTTTTCTACTAGTTTCAAAGCTTGTGACCATAGGTGAGGGTAGGGACGTAAATAGACCGGTAAATCGACAGCTTTGCTTTCACATTTAGCTTTCTCTTGACCACGACGGACGAGTACAGCAGCCGCAATCTATTTGTCAATCTTCTGCTCCTGTCTTCCCTCAATCAAGGGAACAAGAATCCCTCCACTTGGGGCAGCAACGAGCCCCTTATCTGGAGGGGTCAAAATATTTACCCTATTTCTGCTGATGGCCATGGCCTTAGACGTGTGGGAGTTAATTCTCATATTCACTGGTTCATGCTCGACTGTGAATTGCTCCAGTGTGAGCTGGAGACCACCGCCTGCAGCCAACAAGACCACATGAGATACTGGGTGCCACGAACCGTAACTTTCCGATGCTTGGTTGTTCATACAAATTCTGTGCTTAAAGGTTATGAACAAAATGTGTAACATAGGAGAGCACTGGATGAGCACAAAACAATTCTGACTTATTGTCATTCTTTCCTTAACTCTCCCCACAAAGTTGGAAGCATGAACTTGTCAGAAATGCTTTGGTATGCTGAAAATTTTTAAATTCCTTCTACTGGAACTAAGGGGCAAATCCCAAGTCCTGAAAAACAACCACACACCATAATCCACCGTCCACCAAACTTTACACTTGGCACAGTGCAGTTAGACAAGTATCACTCTCCTGGCAACCACCAAACCAGACTCTTCCAGCCAGAGAAGCATGATTTTTCACTCCAGCGGTGGCATGCTTTACAACATTGCATCCAACACTTTGCATTGCACTTATAGATGTAAGGCTTAATTGGAGCTCCTCTGCCATGAAAAACAAATCCATTAAGCTCTCCATGCACTGTTCTTGAGCTAATACCACTAATAGTTGACTATTGGCTGTCTAGTAGCTAGGAAGTATTCATGGCTGGACTTGTTGCACAGGTGGCATCCTATCACAGTGAATTCACTGAGCTCCTGAGAGAAACCCATTCTTTCTTTCTAATGTTTATAGAAACAGTGTGCATTCCTAAGTGCTTGAGTTTATATACCTGTGACCACAGAAGTGATTGGAACACCTACATTCAGTGATTTGGATAGATGAGTGAATACATTTGGCAATATAGTGCAGGTCCAATAACAGAACACCATTTGGTTTTACTATTGTTGTTTTACTATTTTACTATTTACTATTTACTTTTACTATTACTATTGTACCACACCCATATGAGTGTGGAAGTCTCCTAGTAGGAAAACAGAGGCTCCAGACAGAGCACTGTCGAGCACACCACCCAGCAACTCCAAGAAGGGTGGATACTCTGGGTACACTGGGTACTCCAAGCGCAAACAACATCCAGGACCTATTCCCTGGCTTGCAGGTGCAGGGATCAAACGCTCTTGTCCACTGATTAAAACTCTAATTCAAGGATGCCCACCGCAGCCCACCACCTCCCATTGAAGGCAACTCTAGACTAGAACAGAGTCCAGTCCTTCTTTAGGAGACTGGTCCCATAGCTCAAGCCATGTGTTGAGGTGAGGCTATATCTAGTCAGTATCTCTCAACCTCACACACTAGTTCAGGCTCCTTCCCCACTAGAGAGGAGACTGGGAGGCTGGGACTCAGTCGCCAGCCTCAATAGCTGCCAATTGGTCCTCCATGGCCTTCACTCTTGGCTGCTGCCTGAGACACACTGAGCCTAACCCTACAGCACCTCATGGTTCATTCATGGTTATGTGATCTGTTTATTCTTGTGTCACTACAGGAGAGCTACAGGACTGACATTCAGACTTTAGGCATGATCAAAGATTTGGTCAGAAACCTAAGCAGTGACAACGATGAGCTACAAATGCACTGTGCCAGTGCTATCTTTAAGGTACCTTGTTTCTTGTCTGTGTCTTGGATCCATTGGAGAATAAAGGATGTGGACTAAAAGAGTTCTATAACAGTGTTAACATAGCTCTCACTTCTCTCTTTTTGCTCTGCAGTGTGCAGAGGATAAGCAAACCCGTGACCTGGTGCGCAAGTATAAAGGTCTGCAGCCACTGGTCTCACTGCTGCATAAAGCAGGCAACAAGCAACTTCTGGCTGCTGCTACCGGAGCAATATGGAAATGTTCCATAAGCCAGGAGAATGTAACTAAGTATGAATACCTCAGACAGCACAGCGGTACCACTCATTAACACACACAGATTTTAAAAGAGAATATAAAAGAGACACAGAGAACAATGTAGTCATAACTTTTTAGTGTTTGTTATTAGATGTGACAGATTAGTATGACTTTGACAAATCTCCTGATGAAATAGGTTGATAGCAGTAAAACACTGAATCGTCCACATATGCCCATGCCTTTCGAACATATGTTTGCCAGGATGATGCAGTCTGTGAACACATGAGTAGCAGCGGTGGATATAGAACGCATCCTGCCGACTTCTGTGCATGAGAGACATTATACCATCACCACATGTTGTTTTTTATAGATTTCCGTTTTTTCCACAGCTAAACAAAAGGATCAGTGTGGATGCTGATTGCATAGACGTCAGGATGTGTTGGTTATTCCCTCATAAGCTAGTCTGTTGTAATAATTGTTATGATTTTTTTTTTTAAAAAAGTACTATATTAATTTGAAAGCTTTTTCCTGAGGTGAGAAAATGCATTTTTCTTATGTGTAGTTCAGATTTTAGTGGAATTCTAAAAATAATTAGAAAAAGGGTTCAGTAGCACTCACAAGGCTTTCTGCACTTCATATATCATAACTGACACAATGAAAGCTTAACTGGCCATGAGTAATTTAGCAGCTTAAAACACTTGCTGTCAGTGACAGAGTCTCTGTCTCACTTAATGAATTGTCACACTATAAAACAGTTATCCAGCTACCGATAATAATAATAATAATAATAATAATAATAATAATAACAGAAGAAGCGCTCAGACAGTGCAAACCTCAGCCAAGGCAGCTCACTCTCTGGGCAGTATTTACTTTCAAGGAAACAGTATTGTATTTTGTATATAATCCTATCGTTTTCTTTGTTCTTTGAAAGTGAGGTCAGAGGTCAAATGTTACATGATATTTGGATGAAAACTACAAAGTGATATTTAGAATTCCCATATGCCAGTATCACTTCCTAAATGTTTCCACTACAAACAATGGCAGTAGAATTTTAAGCAGTTTACAACATAAAAGACATTTTATGAACATTTGACCTTGAAAGAGAGGTGAGAGGTCCAAAGTAATGTGATAATTAGAATCTCTTATATGCTGTTGTCATACAAACAATGGCAGTAACAAACATAGTTTTAAACAGGTCTTTGTACGGTACTTTCTCTATGTTGACAATACACACTACACTTGAAGCTATTTACCAATTTTTGACCAATTAATTATCAACTCAACCTTCGAGACCTCGGAGGATGTTAGCCAAACTTTAATGACCCCACTCTACAGCCTTAGACATTTTTATAAGGATTATAAAAGCAGCAGCACATATTAGCCATTTTCTTGATTAATGATAATACACACATTGATTCCATGGCGCAGTTAAAAGGCAAAACTGGAGCCACACAGTGTGCTGGCTGTTGACATTTTGCATTTATTTTTGACTTGGTTTTCTTCCCATTGTGGATATGCATGTATTTTCCTAGTATTTCATGCTGGATTTAGTCAGAAACGACATGAAAGGAGAAGGGGAGTAGAGGTGGGTTGCAGTGTGGCTTGCAGATGCAACTAAGTCAATGCTAAGTTTGAGTAGTATGCCCTGCATGGGGTTCTAGACATAGTGATAGTCATCAGTCTGTTGTTCAAACCACTTCACATCGTGGTCCAGACATGATTCAGACTATTGAATGGATTAAAAAGTGAGATAAGAAGTACTTTATTCATCCCCTGACTTTCCACCTATGTATATTTTTGCTGCCAATGATAGCACAAATGTTTACAGTTCCCAGTCTAGCACAACCTGGTAAACACTACTAAACTCTTAGTGTTGTTTTACATTCTTTGGTTAATATAATTAATTGCTAAATTATTCTAAGTGATATCATACAACCCCAGTTTTGTCTTCTTTCCTTAAAGGTTTCAAGAGTACAAAGCCTTGGAGATCTTGGTGAATCTACTAACTGATCAACCTGAAGAAGTCTTGGTCAATGTAGTGGGAGCCCTGGGGGAATTTGCCCAGATACCTGCTAACAAGGCTGCCATCCGTGAGTTTGGAGGCATCAAACCACTAGTTAAGTTGCTCACAAGCCCAAACCAGGTATCTAGATTTTTTTCTATTTTTGCATTAAGGGTGATGCCATGTTTACAACTTGATCCTTTACCGATTCGTCTTCCTGTAATCTAACCAGGCGCTGCTTGTGAATGTTACCAAAGCAGTGGGTGCCTGTGCAACAAATAAGGATAACATGGTGTAAGTCTCTGTCTCTTTCTGTACATCACAAGTACAATTTACACAAGACAAACTGCCTGTTAAAATGTGATGTGTCTGACTCATATATTCACACACTCACATATTCTCGACAATACGGTCATACATACATACAAAAGAATGACATCAAGTCTAGGATCTAAACACAGTATCATTAACTGGTCATGAATTGATGCTTCAAGAAATCTCCTGTTTTTTACATTTGTAATTATGCAGGTAGGTTACCCTTTTATCCCCGGCTTAATGACAGGTTTAAAAAGCTTTGTTTATTGTACCTGCTGTGTTAAATGTGGTTGTGGTTTAATTCCCAGTGTTTTACTATCGGCCTGCGGTCACTGTTAGGAGCTGAGCTGGTCAGACTAACATACCTAAACCTAAATACAACTTAATGTCAGAATTCACGTTGTTAGTTATCTATTAGTGCTAACTAAAAATGAACCCATTACATGTGTTTGGGATAAAAAGCCCAATAAAAATTTGTCAGTATGATAAAATATAGCCAGTTACTGTGGAGAGTTTCACACAGTGGGCAAAATGTGTTTACAATTGTTTATTTGTTTGTTCATTCCGTCTTTTCTCACAACACTTTCATCTCTTTCTCTTTCTTCAGAATCATTGACCAGCTTGATGGAATCCGTCTGGTGTGGTCGCTGCTAAAAAACCCCAGTGCAGATGTTCAGTCTAGTGCTGCTTGGGCTCTTTGTGCATGCATTGAAAATGCAGAGGTATGTATTTCTTTAGTTGTCTGTGACTTAAAACTGGGTCTTTTGTGTCTCCTGTTTGTGTGAAGTGAAGCACATATTTATCCTGTGAATCAAAGAGTTCTGCAGTGTTTTTGCCAGACTGAGTAAATATCCTGTGGCATGGCTTCTGATTTCCCAGCTGAAAATCTTCTCTGAACATGCTACCATCTTCAGAGGCACACAGCTGGGGTGGCTGTAGCTCAGAGGACAAAGCAACCATGCACAGAATAACATTATATTCATTTGTAACCGTGGTATGTTAAAAGCATAGAAAACATATAAACTTATGGTATGCTGTAAATTAAATATTGATGTACCCACTGTGTCCAAACCCAGTGTACGACCACCTTTAAACCTCTAGCTCAGCATTTTGGACATTTTTGTGTTGTTATTGTGTGCCAATATTTGAACAAGGTTATGCTAAGTTGTGTGGTTAGCTAGGCCAATCCATATTTTGGACCAGTGTAGATTCCAGCTAAATTGAGCTTTAACACAGAAAATAATTTAAGCATCAGTTACTCGTGTTGTTTGTTAGGGTCCACTTCAGTGATTTGAAAGTTGATAGATCGATAGATAAAAATGAAAATGAAAAAAATTGTAAATGCTTTTGTTTTTATTTACATTTTAAAAGGCATCCTGATATTTTCTGGAAACAGGGTCAGGCTTTGTTAGTACTTATTCACTGGATCCACTGGACTGGATTCTTAGGACTGCTCCCCTCTTGATCATCTTCTGTGTTCCTTTGCAGCTAATAACAGACTTTTTGACTCTAGGATGCAGGAGAAACTGCACGCTCGCTCATCGGTGGATTCCAACTGATTGTTAAATTGCTGAGCTCAACAAACAATGAGGTGTTGGCAAGTATTTGTGCTGCCATCTGCAAAATAGCCAAAGATGAGGAGAATCTGGCAATCCTCACTGATTTCGGGGTCGTCCCATCGCTGGCCAAGCTGACTAACACAGTAAGAACACCTCACTGCTGGAGAAAAACAACAGGGTTGTAGTGTTGTTGTCTGTATTCATATACCGTCTTTATGCTGAGTTTAGGTGCTCTTTAATCACTCACTGCTGTATGAATCCAGCTAATGAGGGGTGCATTAGTAGACACAACTTGTTCTGGGCAATGTAAAAAATGCTCTCCGGGATTCAGTAGCGTCTTATTTCTCTCCAGACTCATGACAGGCTCCGTCACCATCTTGCTGATGCCATCGCACAGTGCTGCATGTGGGGCAGCAATAGGGCATCATTTGGTGAGGCTGGAGCTGTGGCACCACTTGTGCGTAACCTTAAGTCGAAAGAAGGCTCGGTCCAGCGGAGCACAGCCATGGCCCTGTATCAGCTGTCAAGGAATCCCAACAACTGTATTACCATGCATGAAAAAGAAGTAGTTCAGGTCAGTTACAGTGCTGTGGTACCTAGATATCTGACTCCAAAATTCAGTCACATTCAAACTGCTTTTTTGTTTCCTCCATTTAGACTTACATTTTTATTAGATTTTTTTTAATGGGTGGTAAGAATGTGCCAATTTAAGAAATACTTTTTAAATCTGTGTCTATGTTTGCTCTTATTAATGTACCAGTTAAGAGTTGCAACACTACTCCATGATGTATATTTGGATTTTAATCACATAAAACACAAATGTTTCACACACACTCCTCGACACTGAGCAGACTGCTTTTGTCTTTTTCTGCAAAATAATGTGGTTATAAGTAGAAGAACAGCAGTTTTTTAGATTTTAACTGGACTTATTCTGTAAGTTCACAGCTTTTTCACCCACAGGCTGGCTCACTTCATCTTCTGGTTTTTCTGGGAAAATCCTAGGAATGCCTTGCCTCTGCTTCCTTGCTAACCACACTGATGTGTGGACTGGTGTATTATAATGCATCTCATGCTTTGAAATGTGATGTGTTTCTGGTGTTTTAATTCAGTTTTGAGAAACACTCTTTAGTAAATGAGATTTGTTGGGAATACATTCTTCCACTGGTTGTCAGCTCTGTCCTGTATACTTCCACAGCCACTGATCCACATGATGGGATCCGATGACGAGGAGCTTCAGGAAGCTGCTGCCGGCTGTGTGCGCAGCATCCGACTACTGTACATGGCTAACAGGAATGCTGAGTTATTCACTTTTAGAAACTGATCACAGCAACACCCCTGGATATGCAAGAGGGACTATACAAAAATGATCAGCGCAGTTATGTAATGTGTTACTTTAAAGAACTGTGTTTTTCCAGGCTTATCAAATTTAGTTTGGAACATTTAATTGTTAGAAAAAAAAATCCTACACTTTCTGCTCTAATAACGAAATTGTTCACTGAACTGTCTTTCAGATATATTCTATCTGTTGGTTTCAAATAAACTGCTTTACCTTGATCGATGAGTGTATATTTGTTGGCTTTCTTGTTTCAATTTCAGCAGGGAACTTTAATCCTGAGCTCCTACTTTACAGTCCAGATGCCTACAACAGAGTATTAGGACCGATTTTAAAAAAAAGAAGTTGAAAGTTAAATGTGGATATTAACGTTGTCATTTGAAGTCAAACAACTGCCACAGCTGCAAGACCCTCTACAAAATGCCTCGTATCGATGAGGTAGTGAAAAAACTTGATCAGTCATCTTATTGTGTCTTGTGATACAGCATACATCCTCTTTATTGCATGAGGCTATAACAGTGATATCCTTGCATCTGTTCATTGCCAACCATTTCACTTTGTACAAATCCAGCCAACTCTTCCAGTTTGAAGATAATCTACTAATTTATAATTACTCAGGCTTCATTAATGACTAGTTATAATATTGCTTTGCAGTGTTATGTTCCAAACGGAAGGACTAAATACCAGCCAAAGGGGGTTTTCACAAGCTGGCAACTCTGAGTAGTATTTCAGACTCAGGAGGGAGCCGGGACAAGGTAACTGCGCTCACAGTGATTTACTGCAGCAGGAATGGAGCCGCGTTACTGAGACTCAGGACAGGGATGATGTAGAAGACAAACACGTATACAATTTTGAATGAACTGGACCGAGTTTGCATGGCTCTTTATTCTCACTTGTAACCCCATATAGAAAACTAAATGTCATAAATGGTGACACAGGTTGGAACTTAAAAATACTACTTGGGTGTTTTGTTTCTGTGCTTTTGTTGCACGGAATTAGCGCAATGTTAATGATGAAAGCTCAAAGGTGCTTCTCTTGTCAGGACAGATTTCAGCATTTAACTAGAAATTACAAGTTGAATAGAATAGAATTGGAAGTTTACTGCATTGATGCACACGAGTCACATAACATTTATTTATCCACTGTACTCATAATTGATCTGCTGTCTGCACGAATTCCTCACAGGAATGGCTGTGGCTCAGGTGGTAGAGCAGATCAGCTATTGATCGGGAGGTCGGTGGTTCGATCCTTGGCTTCCCCAGTCTGCATGTCGAGTATCCCTAGGCAAGATACTAACCCCAAATTGCCCTCCGATGTGAATGCAGGTTAGTTTGCACTTGTGTATAGAAGTGCTTGTGAATGAGGCATGTTGTATAGAGTGCTTTGAGTACTCTGGAAGAGTAGAAAAGTGCTATATAAGAATCAGTCCATTCACAGTTTTATTTATGTTAATTTCCTCACGCATACCTTTGCACAACAATGAATATGATGTTCTTTAATGTGGGCTTTTCTCTTATTTTTGTATATATCTCTCTTGACTGTATATATTTCTGTTGTTTGCTACTTTATCAGGCTGTGTACTAATTTATATTTTATTCCGTCACAGTTAGTGTGGAGCACTCAGAAATTCGTTGTACATGTACAATGACACTAAAGGGCTATTTTATTCTAATCTATTCTATATTTGTGCGTATTGAGTCTGCACGAGTGCTTCTGTTGTTTTGTTTGTAAAGCTGCACTTTAATGATGCATCAAACCTTACGGTCTGCTTTAGGTAAAGTCTATCAGCATGATTTTTTAATGTTTGGAATTTAAATTAATCAGAGAAACCAGTGTTTTAAACTACTAGTATTATTAACTTTTTTTCTTACGACCCTCGTGGCCAAAGATCAAGTTGTAATTGTTTCCTTTGCAAATTTACTTGACACCCTCTGATGTATGTCTCAGCACTCCTTCTGTAAAATATACCCACTTGTTCCACAGGAGAGACAAGGGGACACTGTGACAAATCCGAGGATTTTCTTCCCTCCTTCTGATATTTTACGTGTCAGATATACAGTAATATCCTTTAAGATGTTCATAGTGATCTGTATTACAAGGAAAATGTTTGTGGAACATGACTTTGAGGTTAGATTAAAGTATGTTACATTACAGTGAGAGCAGCTTTTTTGTGAGTTAAAAGGAGAAATGCAGCACAGCACCACACTGACATCTACAGGTTCATAAGACCTGGAGCTACAGGTGAGACTGAGTCCTTTACAGCACAGGGTTGATGGGTGGCTGGCTAAGAAGTCATTCTTAAGGAAGGGAGACAAGGCTGAGGTATGTTGAATTACTTCATTTTACTTCACAGTAGTTAATGTTGTTGCATTTTCTCATTCTTTCAAACATGTTAGCCCTGCCATCTCTTTTTTATATCTTCTAAATAATCATTCCTCTCCTCTCATTGTCTCCCTGCCTTCAGTCAGTTTCTGGTCCAACCATGTAACCATATATTTAATCCTAATGAAAGTATATTGGGTCTGTTCTACAATATCTTACTTGTCTCCTTTTCTAAATATACAAATCCTCAGTAAGATACACTACACTTGTACTTGGCTTTGGAAGCCTACTTGGGTTTCACAATGACCCCATTGAACTAAAACCTCGTTCTTATTGGCAATAATTTTCACTATAGATCACCACTTTGAGATGGACATGTGTATTTGACTACAGAAAAGGATGGAGTGCCATATCTGTGTCAGTGATAAGTTACTGCCCCATGCTGAGAAGGAACGAGGGGAACGTAAGATCGAGCCAAGTGGTTCGGTCATCTGGCAAGGATGCCTCCTAGGCATGTCCCAGGACATGTTGGAATTCCCTTGGATAAGCTGGAGGAGGTGGCTGGAGAGAGGGAGCTCTGGGGTTCTCTGCTTAGGCTGCTACCCTCCACAACCCAGCTGCAATGTAATGTAACGGTAATGTAACTTGCAATACAAAGTTATGGGAAGCTTAAACTTAGTCTCAGATTAATTAAATCTGAGACTAAGTTTCATTGTAAGCTTAAAGTTTCAGGTTGTCTAACTAAAAATATAGTATATAAAACTGATAACATTTAAAATATAGTGAAATAACACAAGCTCTAATAGTGGCAATATATTGTTTGTTGTGCAGCAGAACAGTGTCCAGTATGTTGGCTGATATATATTTTTTGTTTTGAAAATAAAATTCGGATTTTAACTCCATTACAAGAAGTGTTGTTAATTCTTTTTGAATTATATTTGCAGTGTTGAACTAAAAATATGAGAAAAAAAAAACATAATGTGATTTAGTTGCATTTAATTTGTGTAAGAAAAAATGTTTTTTTTCTAAATTTATTAGCACTTGGTGTTTAGTGGGTATACAATTGGTATTTCACACTGAGATTAATTGGGTTATTCTTATTACTGTGTACTTGCAATGACTAAGTTGTTCTAACTTAGTGATCTTAGTGAAATGTGTGCCCCTCTCTCCTTTTGTATACATTTCTGTTTTTGTTTTTTAAATTGCTGCTGTCTTACACTGAATATTTTATTCCTGCAGTTGGTGTGAAGCATCCTCAATTTCGTTGTACATGTACAATGACAGTAAAGGTGTCACCAGGACTTGTACATGGGGAGTAAACTCAAAACGGCAGCTTTATTGCTGGAAAACTCTTACACTAATACAGAAAACAAAACCAAAAACTCAAACATGAAACTCAAACCATGAAGATAGAAAACAAAACTGGGAACAGAACTCGAAAATACGGAGAGCACGGAGGAAACACACACAGCACAGAGAGGGTGTATGATGGTTAAGCCAGTACCGTGACAAAAGGGCAGTTCTGTTCTATTTACTGGGGACATTTCATTCTTGCATGTACCAACTTCCTGTTTGTCAGTCACAGTAAAATAAAAATGCACAATTTAATTTCAGCACTTTTGTCATCACAGGTTCACACAGAGCCCTCCTGTCACCAAATGACCAACGAATAAGCTCAACACAAACAAATTGGCCATATCGAGCTCAACAATGTTTAACGTCCTAACAGGTGATTTTTTGAGACCACAAATTTTCATTCATTCATTTTTCACAGTTTATTGTTGTGCTACGAGAAGTGATGAGTATACTTTTAATAATCCTATAGCAGTAATTAATCATAGAGCTGGGAGATGAATTGAATTATGATTTAAATCACAATTCTGACTTTTAACAACCAATTAAACAAGATCATTGGGATAAAAACTCATTTGAATCATTCATCAGCTTGCGTTTCTTTAACTTTGAAGATCTCATTTGTTCATATTTTTCTGCTTTGAATCAACATCTCCCCTTTCCTTTACAGGTATCTCTTTCACCTCTCCCTAAAAGCCAAAATTTGCTCTCAGTTTAGTTCAGGTTGAATAAGTGAACGTGCTTACAGAGCCGTTATGGTTCATCGCTCAACCCTTTGGCCTGAGACATCGATCAGTGAAAACTGTGGGCCAATAAGGAGCGTCACATGCCTACTGAAGGTGGGTGTGATGTTGAAAAGGAAGTGTATCCTGTTCAATGTCTATTTTAAAAATGTATTTATTTTAAATATATCTACATTTCAGAAAATCTCATCGTTCGAAACTGAGTAAATCCAAAATGTTTCACTTAATCACTTTGTCAAAAGATTAAAATTTCTTGTATTTAATCTTTCAAAATTTGGTGCAGTTATATTCTTGTCTGGTAACAATAATAGACTCAGCTGGCTCTTTTCTTTTCTCTCCTTTAAAAAATGCTACATTGTCTTCTTCCACACATAAATCTATGTATGTTTTGAAATAAGTCAAGATACAAAATATCACATTCTGCTTTATTAAACAGTATTCTGCCGTGTTCAGATTTTTGAAAGGTTTAAAAATAGGTTACACATTTAAATGAAACACAAAGTTGGTATGAATGAATTTGTTCAACTCACAGACAATGAAATCAAACAGAAATCAGGGCATGAAATGTAAACATTTTATTGACATTAACTTGAAGCGCTGAATTAGTTATGTTTTCTGTTCAATTCAGTTCACTTCAACCTGTAAGGGAAAGTAAATGATGGTCTTTTCACACTGTAAGGTTTCCTTACAGTAATACATTGTAAGGTAACCTTACAATGTATTACTGTAAGGTTTGGTACCTTCCAGTGTTAAAAAGAAAACCCCAGCAGACACACCCCTCTGAGCAAGCACTCGGCGACAGT